GATCAGGGGGGGGATGGTGACGACCTGGATTGGTGAAGCGGGCTGGGGGTCAGCCGCAGAGCCCTGGGTCGCCACATCACCACAATGGCGCCCGCCAGCTCAGCGATGGGGCCGCCACCCTTCGCCGAGCCCCCTGCAAACGCACAAGAAGCACCCTGCAGGACATTTGGATTGCGGTATTTTGATCCGTTTGAAAGCTTGCGAGTTGAATTACGCATGAAACCTGCTCTTGAGAGGGCCAACAATTTGGGTGGCATGTGTTGTGAGCAGCTGCAGCAGCACTCACAACTGCAGCCTTGGTTCTTGCTGCAGCCTTGGTTCTTGCTTTTGCCAACAGTTGTCTCACCAGCACTTGCACACGCTTTGCCTGTGGCGTCTGCGAGCACAAGGTGGGCGGTTGACATGCATCGCTTTTGACCTGCTGAGCGTCGACCTGACAAGTTTGACCGCAGATCAGTTGACCACCTCTGGCCCACACGGCTGTTGTGCATGAGGAAATGCAGGGCTATGATGATGTTACTTGTGTGTGTGTGTGTGTGTGTGTGTGTGTGTAATGATAGGCGGGTAGCAACACCTTGCTTTGGACATAATGACGGGCCGCGTGCTTGAGGCGACCAGCTGTGCAACGAGCCAATCACTTATGTCTGTTGTGGCAGGTTGACCCCATGTATGCCGGGTCGAAGCAGCGGCACTTCTCATGATTAGGGTCAAGCGAGTGAGAAGAGGTTGTGGCATGCATCGGGCAGGCACGGACGCATTCACCCCCTTCAAGGGTGCCGCTGTTGCATGATCACGGCGCCAAGTCGTCATCGCGCTGAAGCGGTGCTCAAACCAACCTGCACACAGATGTGCACTGCCACCATTGTAGCTTGTACTCCAAGATTCCAGACGCTCCCCATCGCGGCGTGTCATCCAATTCATAATCTCGACCTCACAAGCGGCTTGCACTCCTCAGGCACGGGCCGTCAGCTGTTTTTTTGATGTGCACGGCAGCCTCAAATTCCCCTAGTTATATATCAGCAAGCTTGCAGGCATCCACAGCAGTCGGCGGAGGAGCGTTGACGACGCATCCAGCCGACCTGGTGCACGCTGCCGCCACTGCCAACGCTGCGCATCCAATTCCACGGGCCAGGCCGAAGGGCCCTTGTGTCGCTCGACCTCGGAAGGATGTGGGCCTGGCTCATAGGAACTGGCCAGCCGGGCCTAGGCGGGGCTGGCATTTGGTCCAGGTGAGCTCATGAAGGCGGGGTGTGTCATGCCGGTGGCCGCAGACGCCTGCCCTGACACGCGCGCCCCGGGCCCCTCGCGCACGCCTGTCCCTCCCTGCTGCGCCCGCCTGGCTGCTGCGCACTGCTGCTTGTCAAGTCCACCTGCGCCCTCGGCGCCTCCCAGTACACGGAAACCCCCAACGCCTCCCATCGAGCACACACCCTGCGGCCCCGCTTGACGCCACCGCGAGGGCCCAAAACGCACCTGCGGCCGCGCCGCACGCCCGGCCCCTCGCCCCATCCCACCCCTCCCTGCTCCTCACGTCAAGGGCTGTCCCCTGCCCCCTGCCTCGTGAATCCACAGGATTTGCTGGACGTGGGTGAACCCTTTGATCAACAAGGGGTGGGCGGAGACTCTAGAGGAGGATGACGCGCGATTCCTGGTGCCGGCGCGCGACGAGGTGGAGCCGCTGGCGGCGAGGTTTGAATCCAAATACGAACAGATCCTCAAGGTGCGGCCTTGCTGCCTGCTGCTGCTGCGGCGGCGGCGGCAGCACCATCAGCGACAGTGGGCGCAGAGCGCATACCAGTGTGCTGCAGCTCTGCATGCCCCCGTGTGCGGCGTCTGCCGTGGTCTTCAACCCGAGTGGCATAATTGATATGGATTCACGCGGACCCGCATTCGTTCTGGCCGCGACTTCTCATGTGCCCACGCACGCACCCCCGCGCGGTCCCTCAACCCCCTCCAAAGGCCCGCACCGCGCGCCGCGCCCGCGGCGTCACGCGCGCGCCGCTGGTCAACGCGACCACGGAGGCGCTGCTGCGGATCTTCTGGCTTGAGTTCATATGGCACAGCTTCTGGGCGCTCGTGGAGACGGCCGCGCGCGTGCTGTCGCCCCTGGCGCTGCGCGAGTTCCTGCGGTGGCTGCAGCGCGACGCGGCGGACGGCGCGGCGGAGGCGGACTGGCGGGGGTGGTTGCTGGCGCTGGCAGTGCTCGCGGGCGGCGGAAGCCTCACGCTGATCCACCACGTATTCTTCTGGTGGGCGGGGCTGACGGCGGAGGTCTGGTTTGGAACCATTTGGACTCCAAACGCTGGCACGGTTGGACGTGAGGGTTGGGGCGGGGTGTGTGCAAACGGAAGGGAGTAGAGGGATGGGCGAAGGAGGACTTGAGAGGGAGGGAGCGGAGGGGAGGGGAGGACATACGAGGGGGTGGCT